AGTTGTTAAATGACACTGGGCCCGTTGTCATTACAGATAATTGCGGTGCGCTGGATAATTGGTCCTGATTACTTCCTGGCACCTCTGTACACACGGATGGTACTGCATTCTCATGGGAGACTACAGAGCGTGGTACTTTTTGACTTCACCGAATGCCATTGATAATAACAGGGCTAAGCTTTGGTCTGGTTCAGGGGTCTTCAAAGTTTAAATAGTAGTTTTATATTGAAGTGCACTTTCGCTGAGGTCATGGTAAATTGTAAAGCTTGACAATGTGTTGAAATGAAAAGGAAAGGAAAGTAGATAAAAAGTTAAATTAAACACCAATCTCAAACTACACAGACTTGAAGACGTCCAGTGAATATGTAATCTGAGGCATTGGATAAAATTCATACTTAAAATGGCCCGTATTACACTATTTTCTGATCTGTTATTATGTTTTTTCCTCATCACAAACATACCTGGAGTTGTGTTTTTTTCATTCACAGTTTGTTATTTCATTATTCTGTTTTAGTGTCAAAAAAAAAAAAAAAAAAAAAAAAAAAAACGGATTTCAACCTCTATTTCCAATATTTAATTTAAAGTTTATTTAAAATCTGTGTGACATGTGTTCATTCGTTTTTCAAAATAAAACCAAAAATATGAAAACAAAAAAACATCTGTCTTCATTATTTGTCTCCAAAACGAAAATGAAAAAACAAATAATTTGTTTTTTTCATTTTTCGATTTTGTATTTAAATGAATAATGGAAAAAACGGATAACGGATGTTTCCCGTTTACGTGACTTAAACTGCGATGCCGGACTGAACCAGGACTGAACCAGGACTGAACCAGGACTGAACCAGGACTAAAACAGGATTGAACCGGGTTTCAGTCCTGGTCTCAGTCTCAGTGTGGTCCCGGTCTCAGTCCCAGTCTGGTCCTGGTTTCCTAACCACCCGACAGTCTACGCGGGCGCACGTCCAGGCCAGTCCTGACACTCCTGTTTCAGTCCTGGTTTAGGACTGAGACCAGGACCGGACGAGGACTGATACCAGTTTAGTCCTGGTTTAGTCCTGTTTCAGTTCAGTTCAGCATCACAGTCTAAGTCTCATTTTAACACAAAATCGAAAAGTGAAAAAACTAATTGTTAACCGTTTTTTCACTTCCATTTTGGAGACAAATAATGGAGAAAATAGTTGTTTTTTTGTTTTCTTATTTTTGGTTTTATTTTCAAAAACGAATGAACGAATGATACACGGATTATTTCAAGTAACACCATTACTGCCTATTTTAATTTTGATATTTTATTCTCTGATTTATTTGCCCCAGAAGTTCTGCTGCTAGAATGACTTACTTGAAAAATCGTTGCAATTTTGTGGACAAATATGTTTCTTCTTTTATAGCGATGCGTTTACTTTCACGTCTTAGAAAGTCATTGATGAAGTCCATGACGAGAAACAGAAAGCAGCGATAAACTTCATTTGACACCATAGAAATCTAATATATATTTTTTTTATTTATAGAGACATGGTTGAGCAGCAGAACTTCAGGGGCAAATAAACCAGAGAGAATAAAATATCAAAATTAAAATAGTCACTGAGACTTTAAACTTTAAATTAAATTTTGGAAATAGAGGTTGAAATCTGTCTTCTTTTTGTTTGACACTAAAATGGAATAATGAAATAAACCATTTTCCCATTTTACTATATTTTGTTCTTAATTGAAATTCAAAAGAACGAATGGTACATGGACCGAAGTGCTCCACTGTGTTTTTAAACTCAATACACTTTCACTAGAATCATTTGGGTGATTTCAGCCCTCCTTCAGCCAATCCATACTAAAAATATGGCAAAACGTCTCTGTTATCTCAAAAACTACCGCTTCATGACATCACAAGGTGGAACAGAGCATTTTGAGCTTTGGAAATGTAGACAGCCCAATAATAAAGGGTTGAAACATGTGTGAATGGAACAAAACACAACTCCAGGTCTGTTTTTGATGAGGTTATAACAACGTAACCTGGTTTAAAGTTTACAAGAGTCAATTTTGCGTGGTATAGGGCCTTCAAGTGTCTGCCTCTGCTTGATTTCACATCCTGTCCTTTATACATCATTAAAGGTGCCCCATGTAACTTTTCTGGTGAAGGCTGATTGTCTCCAAGGAATTGTTATTGCTTTGCCTGGCATTAAACCCAGCCAAGCTCCAGCTCAGGGGTCTCATTTACAAAACCTAATGCGGAATCCTTACTAAAAGTGTATGTACAGCAAAACACCTCCTCCAATTTGCCTCAGCTCTGAAAACCCCGAGGCACAACGTTCAGAGCTTTGGGACCCGGCAGCTCATTTCCATGTCAAGTTTTCATAAATCACAAAATTAAAGGTCCTATATTATGCAACTTTGACGTTTGTGAGTGTTAAGCCATGTTATAATATTTTTATCTCCTCAAAAACACATGCAGAGTTGTGTTTTGTTTCATTCACATGTTTGAGTAATCCTTTATTAATGCTGTCATTTAGTGGTAGTTTTCAAGTTAACAGCTACTCTTTAACTTTAGTTTAGTAGAGATTGACAATTCCAGGGTTGAAATTATCCATATGATTCTAGTGAAGGTGTATGGAGATTAAAGAACAAAGTGTTTTCAGAAGAACTCTACTGAAATATGCAGGGTTGTGTGTAAAACATGTGTGAATGTAGCCTGAGTCATCAGCCAGTTTCACTTCGTAGAAATGGTTTGTCCTTGCATCTTTAGAATTTGTTTGCTCAACGGTAGACGGGTACTTTTTTTCATTTGACGAATCGCTGCTATTTGGTCATAACGTGTGTATTAAGCTTTCCCCAAATCCCGTAGGAAGAAGGACAAAAACGTCTTTCCCCTTGGTAAAATTCACCAAACATTCTCTTTGTTCCGGCTTTAAATCCTCGATCTCGGGAATCATTGCCAACACAGAATGTAAGGCTCTTCGCTGATTGGCTGGTGCCTGAAATCGCACTTCCGGGGTTTTTGCGAACCATTTGGTGTATTCTGATTCCTGACCTAGTTGAGCCGAGGCACTAGGTGATGCCAGCCTGACTAGTGTGAATGAACATAGATCAGAAAAGACTGTAATATGGGTCCTTTAATGTGGAGAGTGTCGTACGTCACTTTTTCGTACATGCACACACTTTATAAATGAGACCCCAGATAAAATGTGCAAACATAAAAGTGCACATTTAATGTAGATAACCCATTAGCGGGGTTCATTCCCACGTTTGATGCAGACTGTTCAATGCCATGTTTAGACAAGTACTCGACTGTTCTGAAAACTGAATTCATTCAAGTGTGTGATCTACTATGAAACCAAAACTGATATATATCGATTTAAAGTTGCACTATGTAACATTTCTGCTGGAGGGTCTGACGCCTGCTTGTCTCCATGGCGATATTACTGCTTTGCCTTGATTATTCCACAGTACGGAGCAAAAACAACAATTTAGTAATCACAATGGAGGCAAGGTAATGGTCAGATCTATGGAGAAGCAAGCCTGCACATAAGAAATCACATTTAGTAAGATATTTTTGAGCTATAAAACACCTCTAACATTAGCTAAAAAAAATAACTCCATGGGGACAAGCAAGTAGTCGACTCATCACCTTAGAAGTTACATACTGCCCTTTTAAGCTCTCAAAGACCCTAAAGCAAAATACATCATCTTTTTTTTTCTTCCATCTGAAATAAATTTGACACAGTGATAACCCCAGCCTTACCAGAAGACAGTGGAACTTTTAGCAGAGAATCCTTTAGTCCCGGACACCACAGATAAGGCTCTGCAGAACTGGGTTTGTTTGTTCAGCAAATCTCTCAGACTTATGCCCCAAAATAGAGGTGCTCTGACCCAGCTGTCCTGTCAACCCTGAGAAACAAAGATTTCACATAACTACAAGTCACTTTTTATTATTAAAGGTCTTATATAACACAAAATGTACTCTTGTCAGCTTTAAGTCATGTTATAATGCTGTTTCCTCTTCAAAAACAGACCTGGAGTTATGTTTTATTTTATTCATACAAGGTTGAGTAATCCGAGTATTATTCTGTCTACATCTCCAAATGCTCTCTTCCACCTTAATGCATCGGTGTTTTCAGTTTTATATAGCGCTTTTCTGGACAGAGCATAATTCATTCACTTCATACCCAGTGGTAATAAGCTTCTATTGTAGTCACAGCTGCTCTGGGGCACACTGACGGAAGCGTGGCTGCCAGTGGGCTCCTCTGACCACCACCATCACTCACACACTCAACTTTCATACTAGGCAATAAGAGTGTCGTGCCTTGTGACAGTTTTTGCGACTGGCTCCCCACTGTGGCACCTGATTTTCCCAGCGGTCTCCCATCCAAGTACTAACCAGGCCCGGCACTGCGGAGCTTCTGAGATGTGACGGGATCAGGCTTTGACAAACTGGTATGGCCCCTGACAAGTTAACCACCTTTTATCTTGTTTGTTGTTTATTGGAGAAAGGCTTTTCCAGACCTGAAATAATCCAGATCCAGCACATGGACTTTTTACATCAGGTAGAAGATTGCGCCACCTACAGGCTACAGGTTTTTATCCTGATGCCGTGAGACAGATCAATTCTGTCAGAAAGCCCAGACATTAATGTGCCTTTACAAAACAACACTGATTTGGAAGGCACTTTAGAAAATGAGGGCAGGTGGGGGCTGTGTTTTTTAAAGACGGTATTTGCCATACAATATTTTTACTATATATTCTTATTATTATCTATGCTGCTGTTGACCTGGACCTGAGTGCAGTATTTTGTTTCTGTGTATTTTTCTATACTGAAATGACAAATAAATTCTGATTCTGATGATTCCAGTGAAGGTGTATGGAGTTTAAAAACACATTGGAGCACTTCCTGTATCACCACATGGCATCACAAGTTGGAACAGAGTGTTTTCTGTTTGAGAGAAAAAAACTAAAAGTCTAAATATGCAGGATTTGCGTGTTAAATGTGTGAATGAAACAAAACACAACTCCAGATATGTTTTTTACAAGAAACTACATTGTAACAGATCAGAAAACAGACTAATACTTTAACATTTAACACTGACTCAAATATGAAAACAATTTTCTTGGCACAAAAAAATAATTGGCTGAACTTGAATTGCCAATCGTGGCCAGCAGACATCATTAAATTTTTGTTCATACAGTAATAAACTTAGTGCTGAAATCATAGATTGTAAAAAAGTAGCAGGCAGCAGATCCTCCACCAGAAAAGTTACGCAATGGACGTTTAAAAATGTATAACAGATTGATTTAGTTTAGAAGCAACACTGGTTAGAGATGGACACAAACAGCAGCTTGCACTTGATACACTGGTAAATCTGGAATCATTAGTCTGTACTACAAACCTATTAAAATTCACTTCATTTTTTAAAACGTCATCTGGAATCCACACGGAAATTACAGATTTTGCCCTTCAATTTTGTATTTTTTTTCTTAAATTCTTGCAAAAATAAAACCCATTGTTCATTCTCGACTACAGTACCATTTGTGAAATTCTGCATTCTTCACAATTATTGAGAAACGAAAATCTCTTGGCTCCGACCAGTATTCTAAATCACGCAGACAGTAGTGAGAGGCCTAGGGCTATTGATTTGAATTATCACACTGCCAAAAATACTCGCTATAGAAAAACTCCTCTGAAGAAGAAATAGAGGACACAGAAGGGACATGTCAGATTTTAGTTGTGATAAACAGCACTATAAAACCATTTCGACCTTCATAAACCGACCTGGGAGAGCAGATAAATCCTTACAAAAGGCTTTGGTCGAACTTTGAACTACTTTTAAAACATATTCTCGTTGAAGACATGAGCTTTCACCATTTACTCGATTTCATTACAAACCTTTAACAAAGCATAGATCCACATTATTACCTCGCAGATGAAATGTATTAGCTCTGACAATAAAAAAGTATAAATAGTAGAAGAAAAAAAAAAACAAAATGTCGCGTCGGTTTTTGGGATTTAATTAAAGCTACAAACAAGTAAAACGAATGACAAGTTGCAGTCTTTGTTGGCGGCGTCGCTAACATGCCAGCATCCAAACATCGTCCCGAAATGGAGGCGGGGGGGGTTTCACATCGGAGTGCGTGGACGTGTGTTATTATGGGATGGCTCTGTTGGGTCTTTTGGGTGGGGGAGGGGGCATGAGGGCGGCGTCGGGGTCGGAGGGGTGTCTCTTGTTCTGGGGGGGGCCGCTTTGGGCGCAACACCGGTCCAGGAACTCGAACAGGATCTCCTTGGTGACGGGCTCCTGGATGCTCTTGCACACGGCTGCGGAGAGAGGAGACAAGATTTAGAAAGTATAACAATGGTCACATTTAGATGAGAGCTTTAATTCCAAATAAAACTTTATTCTGTTTTAAAAAGACCATGTAAACACTTTATTCCTAATGACAATGATTACTGACCCACTTACTTCAGAATTAAGTTTAATTCCGAAGTAAGTGGGTGGTTTATCCAGATTTTCAAACTGAATTAATTTATTTCTTGATTGTGTAAACATTTATTCTTCTTAAAAATAATTCCAGTCATTCAGCGCATGCTTGTTGGGTTGCTTTTTTGATGCGATGACCCACTGCAAGACCAACTTGAGATCAACGTTTGCTTTGGGCCGTGAATTTACGAATCCTACCATGACCACGTCAGATTTCGCCGAACTCGCCTTCTGATCGGTCAAGCCTTGAAGATCAACCAATCAGAAGCAGAGTTTGGCGAACTTTGGCGTGGCCATAGTAGATTTTGTAAATTCGCAGCCCGGAGCTGACGTTGGTCTCGAGTCAAATAAATTTTTTTGATAAGTGTGCTGGAAGAACTACAAATAATGTAAAGAGTGAACCATCGGAACAACTGCGAAAAAGTTTGTATCATGTTTGTGTCCATGGCGTAACGACAATCCGAGATAACAAAAAAGCCGGTAACAGCTGAAGTGTGTGTTTTTTTTCCGATAGAGTAAATACATTTGTGCACCCCCTGTCCAATCATAACTCTCCTTGATAACCACACGTTGAGCGAAATTAAATAAAGGTGATTTAACATGTTTTCCATGTAAACGTCAATTCAGAATTATTATTTCCAAGTAATCTCGAAGTAGAATATTTTAATTGAGAACTATTTAATTCAGAACAATTAATTTGGAATTCAAAAACATCAGGTAAATGTGGCCAATATTTCAAGAAAAAAAAAAATCACTGGCAGCTTCACGGAGCACCACCTTATTACCTTTTCATGAGTTTCTAGTTTCTGTTTATACTGTAGGTACCATTTTCTACGACATTTCAGCATTCAAAAAGATATTAGGCTTGTAATTGTGAATTGCCACGGCAACATTGCTAATTTTTAATCACTCTAACAAACCCATGAATATATAGACAAAAGGCGGGAGTGTTTTGCTCAAATTATCAAAGGTGGTAGCAATGTAGTTTCAGTAGATCTTCAGGAATCTAACCTTAAAAACTCCCCACCAATACTATTGCAATGCATGTGGAGTGAAAAAAACGGTATTGTTGCCATGGGAATTAACTTATAATAAAATATATCCTCTGAATGGTGACATAAAAGTGCTCAAGATGACGCCGATGTTTCTTTCTTTTATGTGTAATGTAATTTAAGGCGGTGAGGAGTATGGGTCCAGGAAGAGCCATATCATTTCTTTTAAATTAATAAAAGAAGAATGGCCCTCATGTTCATTTCATAACACCACTGTATTTAATTTTGTTCTTATTTCACACGCACTTTAAATAAATGAAAACCAGCGTTGCGTTTTGTAACCTAAATGTCACAGATAAGCCTATGGAACCTGTGATGGAAAAACACTCGGGCTGCCATGACCTGGTTTCTCCTGGAGGTAAAGGTTGAGCATGTGCATCATATTATATAGGGTAAGTCTCATTAGCCTAATTAGAAGGATCATTTGTCAACCTCCTCATGATCACGTATGCAAAATATAGGCCCCATGTTAGATTGCAATATATCATAATGGTTCAGGAGTTTCAAACGTTCAAAAACTTTCGCTTTTCAACTCCTACACAACTGAGGAGTCTGATTTAATTTCAGATAAATGTAATGTTTAAAGAGATGGGAGATATCTTGTTTAGATAATTTGAGCTTTTTACATCGCTACAAAGTTGTTCCTTCATTAAAACATAGCCTAAATGGATTTGTCTTTAGTTCATTCACACATTTAAAGGTCTTATATTACGCAAAATCCAAAAAGCAAATGGTTTAAGCCATGTTATGATGCTGTTACTTCATCAAAAACAGAACAAACCTGAAGTTGTGTTTTGTTTCATTCACACATGTTCACAGTAATCCTTTATTATTAGTCTGTCTACATCTCCAAAACTGAAAATGTTCTGTTCCACCTTGTGATGTTATGAAGCGGTACTTTTCAGGTTAACAGCTACCCTTTTCTTTTAGTTAAGTAGAAATTGGCAATTCCAGAGCTCAAAGTAACCAAAATGATTCCAGTGAAAGTGTATGGAGTTTCAAAACACAGTGGGGTGCTTCCTGTATTACCAGATGACATCACAAGGTGGAACAGAGTGTTTTCTGTCTGAGAGAACTCCTGTGTGATTTTGTGTTAAACATGTGAATAAAACAAAACACAATTAGATATGTTCGAGGAAAAAAAATTATAACATAAATCAGAAAATAGCGTAATACAGGACCTTTTAGTAATATTTAATTCTTGCTGCTCTCTCATCTTCTTAAAGGTGCATTGTGTGGCTTTTTGGTTGCAGGACTGCCTCTTGTCATTGCTCTGCCTGGAATGTTCCACAGTATGACATTAAACAACTCTACCTTACATTTATTCATTATTACAGGTGGTTTTATAGCTCAAAAATATCTAGAAAAACAGGAATTTTCACTGTGCGGGGTCGCCTCTCCACAGATCTGACCTGTAACTTGGTCTAGTTTGGTCTCCATTAGGGGTGTGCAAAAATATCAAAATATTGATATGTCGTATTGTTTAATATGGTGATACAGTATCGATATCGTAAGCTACTGTATCGATATCACCAAGAGTATTTTTAGGTATATTTTACTAAATTATTTTGTTACAGCGCTACAATTTTGTTGCTTGTTTAGAGGAAGGAAACTCATGCAAACTTTATGCAACAAATTTGACATTTTCACTGTTTTGATGATTAAAATGTTTGTGTTTCATATTCACTTTGCACAAGAAGTGGTTTAAGAAAGGCTTTTAGTATCACAGCCATGATTTAGCCTTTATTTTTGATTGAACCGTATCGAATCAGTTTGAAATATATCGTATCGAATCAAAAGTATCAAGTATCAATCACTGTATCAAAGTATGTATTGTATTGGCAACTTCTTAATGATACCCAGCCCTAGTGGAGATAGAAATGTTTAATGCCATACTGTGAAACATTCAAGGCAAAGCGAGAACATCTTCATGGAGAAAACCTTTTGACGGACCCTCCACCAAAAACCACACAATGCACCTTTAATTTTTGATTCAACTGACCTAAAATGGCGGCAGTTCGTTTTTTCTACTGAACTGCCATATGAGTACATAAACATGACAGATTTCTCCCGCTGTATGGTAGTAACACTGCGGCCCACGCCTTGGCAGGGTCCGCGGTGTGGGCTGGGCTGAGTGGGCAGAGTGTCTGTTGTCTGTGGGCGTAGCACAGCGCCAGTTGGTGGAGCGGAGCTTATATAGCACCAAATCTAACGCAATGTACTTTTACTAACCAAATCATTCTGTGCTACTAAAAAGGCCACCAATAGACATGTAATAATACAGATATTTTCTCATTATTATCATTTGAGGAGCAGTTTTATGTCATGACCTTTAAAAAAGCATTAGTACAGGGCGACGTGTAAATTTAATATTATGTGCAATAACATGTACGTCGTTTATATGGATCACTGATTGCCAATTATTTATGTAGTCAAGTATTTCTTTTTAATTAAAGTTACACAAGGACATGAGGGAAAACATTTCGCCGTATAACTATTAATGTGCTGGGACCTTTTTGCTAATTTGCAGCTCCCATAACTTCTTCTGCAATTTAGAGCAGCTATACCAAAGATATTCGCTTCCCCAGCACTTTCACAGCATCCTAATTATTCGCTGCAATGTGTTTACGAGCAACCTTCACAGGTCAGAGTGAAATTTAGGATAAAAGTAAATTAGAAAGCTAACAGCGCACTTCCTGATTCTCTGATGATAGAAGGCTTTATAATTAGATGTAGACAGTACACAGCGGTCTCATTTTGACCCTAAAAAGCTGCATATACTTACATCTGTACTGGGCAAGATCTGATCGAATACTTGGGTTGTAAGTATAAAAGTAAAGAAAATCAGATACTAATCGATACTAAAACTAGTACTGAAACTAGATACTCAATTGAGCAAGTATTGATACTAAAAAAAAGTCTCTGAAAAGCTTTATATTGATCTTAAAAATCACGTAGACTAGCATACGCTCATGGATCACTGTGGAACCTACCTGGACGACTGAGGGATTACACAGATATAAGGCCACATGTTAATATTAGGAATGTAACAATAACCAAAATATTGTGATATTTTATCGTCAAAAGTCTCACAATAATACCGTGGGCTGTCACAATATATCGAATTACAAGTTCCTTTGCTTAAATGCACGATTTTATAGTAAAAACAGCTTATGAACATTGGAAACTACATATCCCAGGATTCATTTCAGTGCAGACAACATGAAGAAATATGTTTTTAACTTGAATTCTTGGGATGATAATGGAAATAATTCACACCAAAATCTTGTCAGTATTTTAAAAGAAAAAAAGTGTCAAATCTACAATTATATCAGCCTCTACAAAATATCGCAATAAATATACCGTGATAATATTGTATTGAGAGATTTGGATTTCATTACATCCCTAGTTTTAGTTAGTTATTCAGTGTAATTCTCCACTCCTGTGTTCAGTTTTAGTTGGCCCTCATGTATTTAAACATCCCTGTTTGTTGTCTGGTTGGATTCATTTTATTCTGTTCAGTTTGATTTAAGTTATCCCAGTTGGCCTGGCTTTTTGTTAATGATTTACCTAATTTGAGCCTTTGTTAAATTACATATTTTTTGACTTTATTAAATTTAAAATTATTTTTATACCTTGTCTTTGCCTGTCTGTTTGGTCCACTACATTGGAGGGAAGGATTACACAAATCTAACACAACATGATAATAAAAAATAAAGTACCGTATTTTCCGCACTATTGGGCGCACTCTTAAGCCTCCAAAACATAAAAAAAAACACGAATGAGCACCCTGCAATCCAGAGCGCCCTATACACGGATCCACTCGGGTGTCCCAGCATGACTTCAGTAAACTACAAAGCCGCACCTCACGCAGCGCACGCAAACACGCACGGAGCAGACAGCGACCGCACAGTGAAAAACACCCACAGACACACTCATCACTCCACGCGGACAAGGAACGGAGGAACGAACCGAAAAAGCGAGTGCAATGTGCCACTTCTAGCCACAACTGAACAACTGAGTCACTGCGAACACGCCGACAATCCAGCGGTCCCAGACAGCACCCTCCCTACACTCCACAACTGAACAAGAGAGAGTCACCGTGAACACCACAAACAAAGTCCCACTGACCCATCAAACTGTTGTGTTTCGTTTAAGGTCTGATGCGGTTTATTTGTGAAAAAAGTTCGAAAATAGACCATTTAATGAAAGTGCATTTTATAATCCAGCGCTCCCTGTAGTGCGGAAAATACAGTACTGTCATTTAATGCTGAAAATTACATTCTATTGTCTATGTTTTTTATTATTGTCAGAATCAGTATCAAACTCTAGTTTGAAATTTTAGCATCGTGACAAGACTATTGACTACTATCGCTACTACAATTGCTATTCTTGCAGCAATTCTGAAAGATGCTAACCACTCCAGACCACACAAAAAATGCAGTTTTGGAGATGTTATTGCCCAGTGACTCAGCCATCACAATTTAGTCATCCACAAACAGCAGACTTGAAATAAAAAGTCCAATTGAGGCAGTTCACTTCACCATCAGAGGCTGTAGCGTTGTACCAGATTGGTGTATGGCACTTAAGCAAACATGAAGTACTTCCCCCTCAACAAAAGAAGGCATATTTTTACTACTTTGAATGTGGTCCATAACAATCCAATACACAGAATTCAGTATTTTATCCCTATAACTGCAGCCTAGTGCAAAGTGTGTCTGGGTTTTAGATTTAAGGTGCCATCGGGGCCACACACACAAGACGCGACGCTCCATAATTCACAACTATCGTTCGATCTTCTATCAATACAATTCATTTCTGCGATGCTTTTGCTCCCTCGCCTCCGCCGCTTGTTTTTATGGCTTCAATTTGTCCTTTCATTCTGTGTTTTAATGTTGCCGTTTAGGTGAGGCTCGCACAGATAAGTTCAGTCAACATTAGTTTTTCTTATTTCTGTATTGGAGTTCTGAAATGGTTTTGTAAAAAAAGGATGGCGTGTCTGGGCATTTTTATGGGATTGTAAAAATGGAGGGGAATTTATCTAGCAAAAAGAGTTTGTATTTTTTCAGAAATACAGCTAAGAACATAATGTATTTAATGTGTTCACATGCAGCTGGTCTTTTTAAAAGGTCTGCATACAGTTTGTTTGTGATAAAAGTGTTTCTGGTATTATAATTTGAATGTAAGTTCATTTGAACCTTTTATTATTTGAATCTTTCTGTAAGGTAGCACCAGATATGTCTATTCAACTTAGCTCATATTAAATGTGTAAAAAACTGTTACAATAAGATAATGCATTATGTTAAAAAGATATGAATATCATAGGCGACTTTAGAGGAGAAACAGGTAGGATAAGGAGGAGAATAGGCACTTTGGACATAGCTAAAAGCTAAATGACCTAAAATAGTTCATCCATCCATTTTCTTCTGCTTATCTGGGGCCGGGTTGCGGGGCAGCAAGTCTAAGCAGGGACTCCCAGACCTCCTTCACCCCGGACACTTCCTCCAGCTCTTCCGGTGGGGACCCCAAGACGTTCCCAGGCCAGCTGAGAGACATAGTCCCTGCAGCGTGTCCTGGGTCTTCCCCGGGGCCTCCTCCCGGTGGGACATGCCCAGAACACCTCCCAAGGGAGATGCCCAGGAGACATCCGGAACAGATGCCCGAGCCACCTCAACTGGCTTCTCTCAACGTGGAGGAGCAGTGGCTCTACTCCGAGCTCTTCCCGTGTGACTGAGGTCCTCACCCTATCTCTAAGGGAGCGCCCAGCCATCTTGCGGGGGAAACTCATTTTGGCTGCTTGTATCCGCGATCTTGTCCTTTCGGTCATTACCCAAAGCTCATGACCATAGGTGAGGGGAGGAACATAGATTGACCAGTAATTCGAGAGCTTTGTCTTTCGGCTCAGCTCCCTCTTCACCGCAACAGTGAACGGTGATGAGGATCAACTCCTCCAAATCTAAGGCCATGGTTCTCAACCAGAAAAAGATGGCTTGCCCTCTCTGGGTGGGTGGGGAGTCCCTTCCTCAAATGGAGTTGTTCAGGTATCACAGTGTCTTGTTCACAAGTGAGGGGAGGATGCAGCATGAGACTGTTCAAATTACAAAACCTATGAGCCATAGTGTTGTCACAACGACACAAGGGACTCAGTACCAATTTGAATACCACGACCAGTAGACACTCTTTAGGCAACAGTCATTTTTAACATTAAATAATATTACTTTCTTTTATATTACCATGTTGTCTTACATCTGTGTAGTCCTTCAGTCGTCCATAGTGGTCCATGGGCATAGACTGGGTTATGTGCTTTTATACTTGTTCTGTTCTGCTCAGCATAATTCTAAAACTATTCAGGAAAGGTTACAGGTAATTTCTGTCCTGTGAATGCGATTTTTTAGTATTAATAGTCGATCAAATGAGGATCTAGTTTCTATACTAGTTTTAGTATCGATTAGTATCAGCTTTTTGATCATTCTGACAAGCCTAACTATTACTACTACTACTACTAATAATACAACTACACCATCTACTACTACTGTTGCTTCTGCTGGCACCGTCACAGCAGCTGGGCACCGTGCACAGAGCCAGTGAGGGAACATTTGGTCAGACTCACCCATGGCTGTGTCGTAGGAGTTGGGGAAGCTCTTGTCCACTCTCTGCCTCATGAACACCCAGCTGTTGTTTTCGAATTTACACTCTATGATCTTGTTGTCATACAGTTTCAGTTCTTTAGTGGCCTGCAACACACACATGGAAAAGAAAAGGCATAAATACTTGTAAATTACGCTGCAACAAATGCTACAACATTTTCCTTTTTCTTCTTTGTAAAGTGAAGGCCTTGAAAAGTACACAGCGACGGTTCAAATCAAGTTCATAGTTATTATTCCGAACATGTTTTTCTGCAGTGTATTAGGCTTGGTGATTAGATGTGAGATCAGAAGAGGCTTACGAGAAAGCTAATAATGCCTTGTTACTAGTGACAAGTGAAAACAAAAAAAAAACAAAAGTTAATCCTGTTATTTTCTAAGAATGTAGATCATTATTTACAAGTCATATATAACAAAATTGTGAGTTTTAAGACATTGTAATGCTGTTTCTACATTAAAAACATACCTGGAGTTTTGTTTTGTTTCATTTCACACATGTTAGAGTGAAGGAAACCTACATCTGCCTACATCTCCAAAATTCAAAATGCTCTGCTCCACCTTGTGATGTCATGAAGCGGTAGTTTTCAAGTTAATGGCTACCTTTTACACTTGGTTCGTTAGAGAGTTTGTGTGTTAAACATATGTGAATGAAACAAAACACAACTCCAGGGCCGTGTTTGTGATGGGCGGTTGGTTAGTGCTCTCGCCTCACAGCAAGAAGGTACTGGGTTGGATTCTGGAGCAGTGTGGGGTCTTGCTGTGTGAAGTTTGCCTGTTCTGTGCTTGCTTAGGTTTCTCTTGGGTGCTCCAGTTGATTCTACCGCTAAAAACATGTACGATAGGGTCCCTTGTGGGGCCAGGACTCCTCTGAAAAAGAAGTTCATTATCTCAGCGGGACTATCCTGGTTTAGTAAAGGTCAACTAAATAAAAAAATAGGAAACAACGTTGTACCGTAGATCAGAAAATAGCGTAATATTGACACTTTAAATGCCTATTCATGTAGACCTACTCCAGGCATCTTTTCCCCATGCTCAAAAGTTGTGGCTCAAAATCATGGATCGTAGGTTTCAGAGTGAGGCAGGGACAAAGATCAAACTTGCCTGACAGTTTAAAGTCTTGGTCTCAGTGTGAGCCATCCTCTCTCTGCATCTGTGATCAGTCTGTGTGGCATTCAGTAAACACAAGAGCTCCTCAGTAACAGCAAAAGAGCTCCAACGTGAGAGGGACCATCTCTCCTCTTTTCTCTTTCATTTACTCACTTTTACAAACACAGAAGCAGCATGTAGCACTAGCCTTACCCAACGGTACATTACGGAAACATTACCACACGGAGCCTGGAGTCTGATATTCACTCAGAAAAACAGTGAGAGCCATTGGACAGTGAACATGTGTGCTGTGGTACGATTTAAATTCCTCACTTCGTGTAGTGTGACATCCAACAATCTGTCACTCAGAGCATGATTGAGGCTGCCCAGTGAGACGATGGTGTGGGGAAAATGATCTGAACATGGAAGAAAAAAAGCATTTTGTCACTAAGATCAGATAACTCAATTCTGATAGATGAATTATGCTTCACTGACAATGCTTTATTGTTTAAAAATGTGCTAATATTGGCTGATGGAAATTAAACGAGCTTTGTGGCAAGAGAGGTTTTGCTATAATAATGGAAAAATATAAAATCTAAATAAAATGAAGATTGTGCTGTAAAAATCATCAACTGAACTGTACAATTTATTTGCTACTGATTATGTCAGAATCTCTTGTCTGGTATCGTTTTGTGGACATTGTGTCTTGTCCCCATTCACTGACCATCATGTCCAAAAAATAATTAGTATGAAAATCTGTAAAAAATTATGCCTGCATGACAGACGAGCCAAAGTTTAACACTGGCCAGCCAAATCTGAAAATTTAACAAAGAAAAAAACAAAAAGTAGCATTTTTCTCAACAACAACCAGGGAGGCAGGACTCCAGAGTAGAAGAGTAGAAGGTCAGATGGGCAGATCTTGATCAGGTTGAAAACATGTTGTCTCTGTGATGAATGTTCTCAAACAGGTCAGTGTGAGGGAGCTGCTGTGCCTCGCGTCCCACGCTGTACACATACTAACCAGCAGCAAACACACAGAAGTGCTGTCATCCATTTTAATATGCCATCCAAAGGCCACATACAAAACATATCGATTCCACTCTTATTTATTATAAGTCTGCTGTTGTGAATGCAGATTAGGGAAAATTACCAAAGAGTTTTTATTTCACAACGCCCGCAGTGTTCAATTTAACAATGTTAAGGAAAACCTGCAAAGGTTCACATCTTATGCCTGTTCAAAGGGAACTCGACTTAGGGGAGCTACGAACAGACAACTATAAAAGGCACTATAAAAGGATCATAATAGTTCTGCTTTTTTTACATAAAGAACACATGTTGTTCTTGTGTTTGCTATATGCAGTAGTTATAATCTATGACACCCGTGGATTATTATGTTGTAAAACGCAATATTAATTTTATCAATGACTTAATAAAAGGAACAAGCCTGCGTGTACAAACGGAGGTTGATAGGAGCAATGAAGGCTAAAATAAAGGAGTATATACCATTAAATTACTCAAGCACACATGAATCACTCTAAATACAACTTCAAGAGGGTAAATGAGATAAACAGTGATGTTGTAATTTTGCAATACTGACAATATTTTTGATAAAAATGTAATTAAAGTGCCCACATTATGCTATTTTCTGATCTATGTTATAATGTTTCCTCATCAAAAACATACCTTGAGTTAACACACAAACCCTGCTTCTCTCAAACAGAAAACAATGTTCCACCTTGTGATGTCAATACAGGAAGAGCTCCACTTTGTTTTTAAACTCTATACACCTTGACTAGAATCATTTGGATAATCTCAGCCCTGGAATCATTAACTTCTACTGAACTAAAGGTAAAAGGTAAACCTGAAAACTGCTGCTTAATGACATCACAAGGTGGAACAGAGCATTTTGAGCTTTGAAATGTAGGCAGACTAAGGCAGGGGTCTCCAACCTGTATCTCCAACCAGTAGCTCTCCACCCCTTCAAAGTAGCTTGCCAAGGGATTTCTGAATTCTACATATTGTGCTGAATAAGTAAAATTTGATTCATTAAATGCCTTTTACCATTGTACATTTATCATTTTGATGTCTAACTTTGTACAGTAATAAATGGATAATGGTTTATATTTTATAGACATAACTGCACCTGTCGCTGTTATATTTCCTCAATAACCTGTGACCACTAAAACTATTGCATTTTTATTTTGTAAAAGTAGCTCACTGGAGGAAAAGGATTGGAGACCCCTGGACTAAGGATTACTCCAATATGTGTGAATGAAACAAAAAACAACCAGGTATGTTTTTGAGGAGGTAACAACATTATAACATGGCTAAAAAGTTGATTTTGTGTCATACAGAAGTATACTTTAGACAATAAAATGTAACTTTAACACAAAGTATTAGATGTTTCTTTAATATCACATGGTCTAACTATAACTCTGGTTCAGATAAGACCATTTTGCCATATTTTTCTAGTTTTAGTATGAATCTTGACAACCCTAGTCTGTGATATTACACAAGTTACATCTTCAGCTGTTATTTTATGAAGCTTAAAACTAAACACACAATTGACTTGCGTGTGTAAACCACTCTGGCATTTGCTTCTTGGCTGGTCCCTCTTCATGCCTGGATGAGCAGCTTGCAACACCATCGTAACCCTGGCCTCCTCCTCCACAGTGTCCTGGGACCACTGGCTTATTACATCACTCTGGACTCTGAACAAACAGAATGCACTGGGAGCACACAGGGGGACTGCACAGAGGAAGTCTTTGAGGAGGAAAAGAGGAGAGGAAGAGACAGACGGAGAAGAGAGAAAGAGGAGAGGGGCAGGAGAGGAATAGGGGAGAAGAGGGAGAGAAGGAAGGGAAGAGGAGAGGAGAAGGAGAGGAAAGAGAGAGAGGAAAGCAAGAAGAGAAGGGGAGGTGGAAGAGAAGAGAGGAAGGGGAAGAGAGGGAAGAAAGAGGGAGAGGAGAGGGGAAAAGGAGACAGATGAAGAAGAGAAGAAGAAGAGGGAGAGAATGGGAGGAAAAGGAGAGGGACAGTGAAAGGGAGAGTGAAAGAGGAGAGAGCGATGAGGGAGAAAAGGAAAGGGGGAGGAGAGAAGAGAGGCAGACGAGAGGAAAAGGACAGAGAAAGGAGAATAGCGAATAGAGGGGAGAAGAGAGGGAATGGAAGAGGAGAATGAGAGGGAGAGAAGAGAGGAAGGAGAAGAGGGAGGGGAGAGGGAGAAGAGGGGAAGAGGAGACAGATGAAGAAGTGAAGGAGATGAAAGGAGAAGGGAGGAGAGGGAGAGAAAGGGTGGAAGAGGAGAGGGACAGTGAGAGGGAAAGTGAAAGGAGAGAGAGAGGAGGGAGAAGAGAAAAGGGGGAGGAGAGAGGAGAGGGAGAAGAGAGGAAAAGAAGTGGGAAAGGAGAGAGAAAGAGGAGACAGATAAGGAAGAAGAGAAGGAGAGGAAAGGAAAAGGGAGAAGTGGGAGAGAATGGGATGAAGAGGAGAGGAAAGTTAGAGTGAAGAGAGAGAAGAGGGAGAAGAGAGGAAGAGGAGAGGGAGAGGAGAGGAAGAGAATAAAGGGGAGAAGAGAGGGAATGGAAGAGAGGAAGGAGGAGAGAGGAAGAAGAGAGGGAGAAGGGGGAAGAGGAGACAGATGAAGAAGAAGTGAAGGAGATGAAAGGACAAGGGAGGAGAGGGACAGTGAGAGGGAAAATGAAAGAAGAAAGAGAAGGGAGAAGAGGAAAGGGGGAGGATAGAGGAGGAGGAGAGGGAGAAGAGAGGAAGAGAATAGAGGGGAGAATAGAGGGAATGGAAGAGGGGATTGAAAGGAAAAGAAGAGGAAGAGGAAGGAGCGGAGAGAGAAAGGAGGGAGAAGATGAAGAGGAAGAAGACAAAAGGAGAAAAGACAAGGGAATGGAATGAAAGAGGCAAAGGAGAAAGACGTGAGAGAGAGGACGCAGACGAATATGCTAGGAGAGAGAAAAGAGCGGAGAGACAAGGACAGGAGAGAAAAGAAG